CCATTCTCCCAAGACCCCTTGGCCATTGCCACCACACCACCTTCCTTCTGGACAGGCCTGGAGATGGGAAAGTCCCCCCCCCCGCATGAAATGCCACAATGCATAGGAGGGCCAGGCCCCCAACTCATCTCAAGGCCGTCTGCAGAGGTGCTCTGCCCCTTCCCAGAGCTTGGAAAGTGGCCATTCCTGGGGGGGGGGGATCCTGGGAATTCCAGTTTGTTTTTTAATTCCCAGGTTGCGCCTTCGCCTCCTTCAGTCACAAAAGTCCCCCCCCCCGTGCCACCTGCACCTTCATGTGCCAAGTATGAACAATGTATCAGGGCCACATTTTTCTCCAGGATGGGGGGGGGCGGGACGACACACATATACAGTGGCTCCCCCGGCCACATTTTCCTCCTCCTTAGATCTTAGAGAACTGCAAAGCTGGAAGGGACCCTCTGGATCATTGAGTCATTTTATCTAGATACAGCAGACCCTCTTTGGCCCTATTTTTGAGGACCCTCTGAACAATTTCATGCCTTTTTAAAACCAGAATTAGATTCTGGCAGGTATAAATAGCTGTGGGGGAGGAGGGGGTCAGGATGCCAGGTGGGCAGCGGTGGGAGCCCAGTGGCCAGCGTGTGCTCACGAGAGACCTTCCCTATTCCTGCTCTCATGGTTCCTTGCGGAGTAAGCGCCCACTCAAGGGCTCAATCCTTCCCTTGCAGGCACTGCCTCCAGCCTTTCTCCCCTCTCATGAAGTGTGTGTGTGGGGGGGTAATCTCCAAAATGACCCCAATCTATAGAGAAGGGGGACCTGAACCCACATCTCTCTTTCAAGGAATGTTTCTAATGCTGCTTCCAGGTCACCCACCAGCTGGCAGTAAGCTGCCTGCGGTCACGGCCTCACCTGGCCAAAAGAGCTCCATCAGGACCTCGGGTGGCAAAGTCCTACCCCTGGCTAAGAGGGCAACTCCCCTTGGCAGAGAACCACGGCTAAGGCGAAGCCCCACAAACGCAAGCCCTGGCACAACCCGGGGCCCAGAATATCACCAAGGCGTGCCCTCCAGCACTCAGGTTCCGGAGCCTGGCTTCCGGAGGCAGGGAGCGCCACTCGGCCAGGGGCCAAGAGCAACGGCTTAAGGGCCAGCTCAAGGCTCCTTGCTTCTCTGTGAGCCACCTCGTGAGCTTTACAGCCCCTCACACACCGACACCTGCTCGCTGGGCAAAAGGTCGTTTCCTTCTTCAGCGCATACCTTCAGGGGCCAAGGAAACGTGCAAGCGGCAGACTACACAATCAGAGTTTGCTGTGCTGCCGAGGTGCTGTTTTTATCATTGCCCACCACCCAGGGACCCATCTTTCTAGAAGCAGCCTAGAAAGGGTTTTGTTTTGAAAAAAATTTTTACTTCCTCTGGAGTGCTGTTCTTTCCTACTTGCTTAATTAACTTTGGGCAACTGAACCAGGGCCATCGCTGTACTTCGGAAGGTGGACACCTCCTACCTTTTCTGATAAGAAGTCAGCCCCAGCTCAGAACCCCTGTGCTTCCCGAAGAAAGCCACCCTGACGCCCACCTCTGACCAAGCTATGCCAACGAACTCTGAAGGGTCACCAGGAGCCGGCTGGCCAAGGGAAAAAGTCATCGCCAGGTTCGGCGGTGCTGAGGTTTCCGTAAGGTGCAAACAGAGCAGCAGGATGACCGACCTCCCTCTGAGGAGGTCTGCATCTGCCGTGTGAGGAACCGCAGAATGCAGAGAACTTTAAATAGGATGCTCCCTAATTCAATGCCAAGTGTGTGACAGAGGGCACACGAGAGGATGATGTCATCCCACTGCTAAGATATCAGATAATAAAGAGAGGGAAGAGGTCTCCTGACTTGTTAGAAAGCGAGCCACTTCTATGGGCAAGGCCGCCAGAATGCCAGGGTCATCCAGCTGCCACCCCCCCCAATGTGGGTGCTCTCCACACGTCAGCTGCCACCCTCGTCACTGCCAACCAGCAGGGTCAGGGTGGTTAGGGGTGGTATCGCCCAACTCATTTAGGGCACCTAAAGTCTTGACGGCCAGGCTGTTTTACAGGGCCTTGCCAAGGCTTCCAGAATAGCAGCTGGAAAGGGAAGAGACTGACAGCCCGAGACAGCTGGGCCAGCCAAGCAGGCGGCCCGACCTGGCTCTCGCGCGTTCTCTCTCTCTTTCTCTCCCCCCCCCCCAAGGCAGGGAGACCTTTCCCATGGACAAAGCAAACAATCCCTCAGGCAGAGGATGAATCAACAGAAGCCATTCCAAAACCCATGCCCTCTCTCCCCTAGGCAGAGTCAGTGGCTGGAAGCAACTCACCAGGAGACCTATAAGCTTCCATGACTTTGGCTACATCGGATTATAGCCCTAACAAGAGCAAACCTGTTGAAACCGATGGGGTTTATGTGAGCATTAACAGAGAAGTTCCTTTTTGTCTCGGAGGTTCATAAATGGGTCTGCTGTAACTGGGAATGAAACTAAATTTAGTTTCCGACTGTCTTTGGATTACAATCTTTGTACTGAGAGCCGGTCGCCGGAAGGTAACACACGGAGGCCTCTGACCTCACTTTTTGCTTCCCATTCAGAATCAATGCTGGCCGCACAGCCCGACTGAGCTCCCCGAGTTGCCTTTTAGCAGGGATGGCGACCAAGAGCAGGAGATAACACACACACACCCCCGGAAAAAACCACAGTTGGTCGTGGAGGTACCAACCAGAGGCACTCCCAGTCAATGTGAACCAGCAGACAAGTCCAAACCTGCTGAGTAACTTCCGCCATGGCTGGATGCCCTGGGGCTGGTCCCTAACAATTCTCCGAGGGCTCCTCGGAATGCAAGAGACCACCGCCGGGCAAGGCCACTGGGACCGGCGGTAAGGAAAGCTGGGCCCTTTCGTACTGCCTGAATTCAGGAAGTTGTGCTTTAGGCAGAAGGGAACACCAAACACAGAGGAGGAGGAGGAGGAGGCCAGACGCCTCCTGCTGCCTCCTGGAGGAGGCATCATCACGTGTCCTGTCCTGACAGAAACAGGAAGCTGGGGGGGGGGGAAGAGAAAGAGACTCCTGGCCTCTGCCTGAGTTTGTTTGCACACAAAGGCAAAGCCTGCAAGGAATCAGCTGAGCGGGTGCTCCTTCAGCCACACCCACCCGCCCGCCTGCAGAACCAAAGCCCCTGGGCTGCAGATCCGCATCACGGCAACCCTACCTTGTTATTTCAGTTGCCAAGCCATTTATTTACAGATTCTAAACTACAACCCAAGTCCAAGCAACAGTGGCCTTTCTTCCGCCAGCAGGCATGCCATTTTTCTCAGCCTCGATTTCACCAGATAAGAGGAAGAAGCAGCAGCTGAACAAATCAGAAGACCTCTTGGAAATGAAAATCAATTGCTAAATGCAAGAGCTGGTTTCCAAAACGAAACCATTCCCATCTAAGGGAGGTGTGCACCCATCAAAAGTACTGCTCCTCTGGGAGGGGATTCCAGTAAAAGCATGACCAGCTGCAAAGAAGGAGAGAAAGGGGCTGCTCTGAGGTTTTAAGAGGCAATGGGCTAAACCCCCCAGCAACGGGTACTGGGCAAGTGTGGCACTCACCCACCCCCATCTACAGGTCATAGAATCAGAGAAATCATAGAAAAGGGAAGGGGCCTCCAAGGCCATCCAGTCCAACCCCCTGTGCTCACGGCGCAAATACCATCCAAAGCAGATCTGCCAGGCGATTATCTTTTTCTTGAAGGCCTCCAGGGTTGGAGCGCTCACCCACTCCCCTTGAGGTCACGGGTTCCGCTGTCGTACTTCTCCAACAGCGAGGAAGCTTTTCCTGATATTCAACTGGAATCTGGCTTCCTTTCACTTGAGCCCCTCCTTGCCTCTCCTCCCCCCCCCCCCCGGAAGCCCTCCGCTTTGCAGACTCGCTCCTTTCCAAGCAAGGGGAGCAAGAAGGGAAAGAGCAGCTTCCCCTCTCCGGGGAGCGAAGGCCCCAAGAGTGGGGAAAAAGAGGAAGGAAAAGAGCCAGAGCGAGGCCAGTGGGCAGGCAAACAAGCTGTCAAAGGCAAGGGCGAAAGCACAAGATAGCGGAGAATCGCGGAGTTCGAAGGGGCCTCCAAGGCCATCCAGTCCAACCCTCTGCCCCCAAGGCCCGATTGCAAATCCACATAAATCCGTCAGATAAGCCCCCCTCCCCCCGTTTTTTCTCTTGAAGGCTGCCAGCCTCAGAGCCCTGCCCCCCCACCTCCCTTCGAGGTCCCTTGTCGTGCTGCTCTAACAGTTAGGAAGTTTTTTTCCTGACCTTCAGCTGAGATCTGGCTTCCTGTCGCCTGGTTGGGAGTCCCGGTGGAAGAGAAGGACGGCCCGAGGCCGGCGCTCGCCTTCGGCCCGCTTCCTCCTTCCCTACACGTGTAGGTCGGTCCTCACGAAGGCAACTCTCCGCCGCTTAGGGAGCGAGAAAGCGCCTCCCCAAGGACAACCTCCCTCGGGGGAGACCCAGCTTGCCCTCCCTCCCTGGGCGGCAGCCCGGCAAGGGGTCCGAGCGGGGAGGGTCAGAAGGCCCCCTGGGGACTACAAGGCCCAGGCTCCCCCAGGGGCTGGGCGGGGGTTTGCCTCCTAAGGGGGGGCGGGAAGAGAGCCCCCCCCTCCCCAAGCAAAAGGGCAGCCGCTCCGGCCACCCACCCACCACTCTCTGCGGACGACAACGCCCAGGACACCCGGCCCGTGCCATGGGGATGGTGGGCGTTGTAGTCCCTGGGGCCCCCTGGGGACTACAAGGCCCAGGCTCCCCCAGGGGCTGGGCGGGGGTTTGCCTCCTAAGGGGGGGCGGGAAGAGAGCCCCCCCCTCCCCAAGCAAAAGGGCAGCCGCTCCGGCCACCCACCCACCACTCTCTGCGGACGACAACGCCCAGGACACCCGGCCCGTGCCATGGGGATGGTGGGCGTTGTAGTCCCTGGGGAGAAATGCACGGAGGGCCACCCCCCGCGTTTCCTTCCCGG